TATTAGTATTAGTATTAGACTATTAGTATTAGTATTAGACTATTAGTATTAGTATTAGACTATTAGTATTAGTATTAGACTATTAGTATTAGTAACTAATCATTATACTGTATCTGTGTGTTCCAGGTAGCAGTCATCCTTTATGTTAAATAAACCAAGGAAGATGGTATCCATTTATTAATCAATGATATCAAAGTTGGGAACACTCCTAATGGAGCGTTAGCCAAGAAACGACTCGCGCGGTGACGGCTATTAATAACTTGCTGCATCTCTACTGCACCAGCGCGTGGCCAGTGCCAGGCACCGGCTGAAAAAAATACAATGTGTCCAAGCGAACAATGCGAACAATCAGTGCAAATTTTATACAGTGCAACTGAAATGCGGAATATAACCTTGCCGCTGCGGAATGCGGAGGTTAAGCCTAGAAATCGTAATGATTCCGCAGAATGCGGAATGGTTGGAGACCCTGCTATGCTAGAATCAGGGTTTATGAATTATGACTATACAATTTGCACAATACTTAAATCACACTAACAATACAACAGTTTCAAAATGTTACATTGTCTGAAGATCAATTGTATTACATAAACGGCTTTGGTAACACGTCCCATATCACATAAACTTTATAAAGCAAGATAATTCTGGATATGCAACGTGGCATTAACAGTAACACGCCAACGTGGCTGCAACCGGCGACCGCTTTCACTCGGCATTTACACTAGAAGTACTTGCTCGAGTGAGGTTTTGTTTTCTTTACAAGGAACATGAGTGTCGACGCTTTCTATAATACACGAAAATGTCAAGATATTGCACTGAACTGCTAAAATATTACGAACTATTATAAAACTTACACCGTGCCATTTTAACATGCAAAAGACCTCATCCGGGTAGTTTTCTACGCCACTTGGACGTTATCTCGTGTAAATTAATTATATCTCAGCTGGAAATATTACGATTAATTAGCAATTTAGTAAAATGTTTGTGATTATAATATTGGCTTTATATTAGACATAAATTTAATATTTTCAGTGTTATATCTTTTCTTGGTTGTAGTTTAATAAAGTTCACGTATCTTAGGAGAGGTAAAACACATGAATGAGGAACACGACAAGTCTTTGCGGTAAACGTGTACTGCTGAATAAGCTAGTTGTGTACTGCTGAATAAATATTAAGCTGGTACTAACACTAACAGAGTATATAACAGTTATAACAGTGTAAGAGGCATAGATCTCTCTATCCATCCATCTATCTATTTATTTATCTATCTATCTATCTCTATCGTTATGATACTTACCAGTAATAATGGCAGTATATATTCAGTATATACCAGTATATACCGGTATACTTACCAGTATATATATAGACACAACATTTGCATATCAACAACACAAACATACAAAGATTAGATAGTTATGAATTTGTGAATTTTGAAATGCTATTTGTGAAATTGCATTGTTTATTTGTGTGTCACAATGTGCATTTGATAATAATGTGGATGCTAATTACGAAACCTAATTATTACACTGTTAACTTATTGTAATTAGAGGCATAACTAATTCTAGTGATACTGCGTTGCTGATGAATTCTTAATCTTATATTTTTCTCTCGTTTTTATTAGGAAGTGAATATTTTGCCGACGCGGCAAAATATTGGTAACCGCTATTTTGCCGACATTCGCCGCCGCCGCCGCAACGTGGCAGCACTAGTATTAGGATTAATATTATCAGGATATTATTAGTATTAGTATTACTAAATTAGTAATACTAATAGTATTGCTGAGAGGGTCTATGTCCCCCAGGTTACTGCCGGAACGTACCCTGGTACTATCTAATATGCCGGACCGTACCTCTCCTACTCTACTAACGAGTCTAGGGAGTTGCCTATGCCTATATATACTCCCTAACCCTAACCCTAGCCCTAACTCTAACCCTAACCATATCAAATAGTTACCAGGGTACGTTCCGGTATACCGAACCGTACCCAGGGTACGTTCCGGCAGTACCCTGGGGGACATAGACCATATGAGCAATAGTATTAGTATTAGGTTAGGGTTAGGGTTTTTGCATCATGATATCTGTCCCCACACCACAGATTAATTTTTGTGGATGACGCCCCTATATATAGCGATCCGATATATATATATTTACTTCCGCGCAACGGAGTTGCAGGGAGGTAATGTAATCGCTCTCTTGTGTGTGTTCGTGTGTGTGTGTGTAGCCAGCAGCGAGCCAGCTGTTATACACATGTATACATGTTACACGCGTTGGCGCGATCGATTCAGCACCAGCTCGCCTTAGGGCGTCCAGTCAGCAGCAGCCAGCAGCGAGCCAGCTGTTATACACATGTATACATGTTACACGCTCGCGGAGGTATGCACTCTCTTTGAGTGACCTCTGTCTAGTTAGTGTTAGGGTTAGTGTTGGAGTTAGGGTTACACTGTATCCGTTAGTCTCTGTGGCACATTCATTCATCAGCAAAACATACATCCAGCAGCAAGGGCATAAGACCCAACTTATAGGCTATATGTTTTTGTTTAGGAACCTTGGCCTTGGCTTTTGTTTATCAAAATGAAGTCATAACACATCAGCCAATCAGCTACGAATGTCGGCAAAATAGCGTTTACCAATATTTTGCCGCGTCGGCAAAATATCCACTTCCTTTTTATTAGCCTAGGAACTTAATTTGTTTTATTGTAGTTTGTAGCATATTTGCCTGTATGATCTGCGATTATCCGTGCAATAAACTTTATTTTAATTTTTAATTTTTAATTTTATACTTATACAGAGCTGATATACCTTTGCAATAAGGGGCCTAGTCTATACTATAGCATTAGCACAATGTTTTAATCAAGGAATCAATTAATTGAAGCACCTCATCTTATATGACGGTAGCAGTCTGGTTTTGTCAGCATAGTCTGGTAGTCTGGTTTTGTAGCAATCATACAACATGCTTGCCTATAAATTACTTTGGCAGTAACATCTTTTTTGTGTTTGTGTAGGTTGCCGTGTAGCCCACAGTACTGACAGCCTTAATACATTATATGCTGAAGATGCCTGGACTGTCAGGAAAAGTTATACTTATTACAGGTGTAGTGTAGTCAGTGTGTTATGCTTTACTTTCTGAAATCGTTTACGTACACGTGATTTATGACACTATTGTATATATGCAACACTTCAGGGTAGTAATAAAACATACGGGGTCTTTGAGCCTGTGTGATGAACAGAAACTGGCGTGTTTTTACTTGGGTGTTCAGAGGCAAGAGCCTACAACACTATAACAGTTACGACTTGAAGCATGGAATGTGTTCACAAGTAATAAAATGTGGCATGTATGGCATTGTATGGCTTACAATTACACCAATTTATTGTGTACCAGAATTAAGTGAATTGTGTTGTTAAATTCCTGCACATCTTCAACTCACACACTAACATCGCTAATTCGTCTAGTAGTATTATTAAGAATTTGGTTGTCACTTGTACTATTTATACATAAAGTTATTTGCAGGGGCTAGTGATGGAATAGGAAGAGGATTGGCAACACATTTCTCATCACTTGGATCTCGACTGGTGGTCAACGGTAGAAATAAAGAAAGACTAGAGGAAACCAAAAATCTATGCTTGGCACAAGGGGCATCTCACAATGATGTTAGTTTTCTATTGTTATTGCAGTTGCACGCACGTTGATCGATTTCATGTGACTCCCTGTCTACTGTTATAGTGAATTCCACCTATGACTTCTGGACCAAGAATAGGTGGGGTGATTAAAGACAAAATATCATTGTCTTGTTTGTATTTCCTTTGTCTGGTAAACCATTTGAATTTCGTAGCAGAAAAGGGATGAGATCAGTGTCTATGTGCTTTTTAAAGAATGTGTATTTATATGAATGCGTGTTTTTCCTATTATCACTAAAATCTACACGTTTCATTTTGTTTCATTGTGTGTGTCCAGTGCATTCTTAGACGATCGAAAAGTGGTGACTTGGTGTAATTATAGATTTTCTGCTGTGGCCGTGTGGTATCTGCTGAACCAAGCAGCCAGAATTGCCCTTCCCCAAAGATCACAATGGTTAATCACATATCTGTCAGACAGTGAGGGTCATGTCGTGGATTGGTAAAATCTGTGCGCATATTTCGCAGTGGTAAGAATAGGTCTGCCCAGGGTCGCAGATGAGAAATCTCGAACAAAAAACGACCACAGTTGCTGCTAATAGTAATAGTAATATAAAAGATTTCTGCTGTTACCCAGTGTCATATACCAATCTGGGACATTGTGACACTATGTATCATGTTACGAATACATTGTTATATGAGGTCCCGCCGACTGTATATGCATGTATGACATTACCTGATATTTTTCCGTAGAATCTTGCCTTCCGTTTTCTTGCAGGTTCTTATTGCCACTGGTGATATATCTAAAAAGGATGATGTTGATAAAGTGATTGATCAAACACTTAACTACTTTAATGGAACACTTGATGTGTTGGTGAGTTTCTTGTAGTTTTTAAGTAATGCAAGTTCACAGCAATGAACGGTGAGGGTAGTTTTAGCTATTATCGTTCAAGAACAATGTGTGTGAAATAATGGTTAATATCTGACCCTCACTGTAATATTGATAATTGCTATCTAAGATATGAATGGTATCACTCGCAAGTACTATGTTACTTACATAGATATCTTTTCTTGGTTGCCAGCCTATGATATTAGAGATACGACTTCTGCAAGAAAAGACATCTCGGAATCGTCTTTGTAAAGGAACGTAGATTTGCAATTTTCTGAGAATGGCCAGGGAGTGTGAATTCATTCATTCTGTTTATATGTTTCAGATAAACAATGCAGGCATTTACAGTGCCAAGCTTTATGATTCTGCCGAATTCGAGAAAATTGTTGACACTAATATCAAAGGAGTCACGTATCTGACACACAAAGCTATTCCTCATCTCATCAAGTCTAAAGGTTTCATTTATAGGTTACATGTGTAATTGCTGATAGACAACAGATTTCCATGCAGGAAGAGTGGGAGATAGAGAGGCGGTAGGGAGAGGTTGAGAATAACAGTGAACGTGAGGTGGGAAAAGACGGAGTGACAGAGATGGAGAGAATAGAATGGGAGAGAAGATGAAATTTTAGCAAGAATGAGGGAGAAGGAAAGACAGGTAGAAGGAGTGAGTGTGAGAGAGATTATGAATACAATAATATTATTACCTGTACTAAAATTGAAGTATTTTTGTGTGAATTTATTACAGGTAATATCATCACTATATCGAGTACTTCGAGCCTACGGCCGGTAATTGTCACCTTTTTTGCCACTGTTATGATTCTGTTATTGTATTAGTTAAAGCAAATCTATTAAAAACGAATATCTTCCATGTAAACTTTTCATACAAGTTCTAGAGCTGTGTAAAGCATCGTGAAATGTGACAAATATAATTGTTCAATGTGTCACGACATGTAAATGAGTTGTAAAAATTATGTAACTGATTCTGGGATTTATGTTTCAGGGTTCATCTATGATGTACTCCATGTCCAAAGCTGCACAAGATACTATGACAAAATGTCTTGCTCTAAGTAAATATCTATGAATCGCTATCATGTCTTAAAACTTCCACATATTACATATAAATGACTCACATTTGTCATGAATTTATTCCTTCCCTATCACCATCACTATAGTCATGAATTTTTCATGATTTTATTCCGTCTTTATTGCACATAATTATTATTATTATACTGCATTATTGCATCGATTATCGCATAATCCTAGGCACCTATTGTGTATTAGATTCAAACCAGTGAGCTAATCTGTCACTGTGATGCATGACTTTAACTCTGATCTAGAACATTAAAATCTAGTAACTTCAGCAGCAATAAGATTATGCTTTTTAAAGCCCAGAAGTGGAATCTTGATTAACTGGTGTTATATAAAATTGTTTTTATTAATCGTAAAAAAAAGTTTACATTTATTCATTCATTCATTTAGAGTTCAATATGAAACGTCTGATAATGTGTCATTCTTGATTATTTTTACATTTAGATTTGGCGCCAAAGGGAGTACGTGTAAATTCTGTTAGGTATGTATAGTTAAGTAAAATTATAAACAAAAAATTCGTTTTTTTCATAAATTAATAGCATATGGCAGTCCGGGATGTTGTAGAATATGGTAACCGAGAACCATAAATTGTTACAAGTAGCATGAAATGGTGACTGCATTAACAAATTTCGGAGATTTGATACAAATATTGTTGCTGATTAGAAAATTTGCATATTCAGCACAAAAATTGATATAGTAATGTTTATAGGCAACATAAAATATTGTTTTGTTGAAATTATAGTAAACAGCACAGTAACCATATTATGTTACTATTGTACAAATTCACAGTTACGTGAAATAGTAACCATTGTCCACATTGCTGTTTGCACAGAAATTTGTGGTTTGGTTTACACAGAAGCCAATAGCCATATGGCAACAGTAACCGGGTACAACATGTACCAGTGCTATAAAAAAAATCTAAAAGTAAAGTATGCAATTTTGCTAAACTTATATCTATGTGATTATATTATCTGAAATCTGGAGAGCAGCAAATATTTCTGTGCATATTTGAGTGAATTAAGGTGCGCCTAAAGCATGCGGTACTAGGTTGGTCTGGGGCATGCCCCCCTCCCACCTGGAAAATTCAAGCAGCTGTGTCGTCACAAGAGAAATCCCCAGTTTCTATCAGCCTGCAGACTAACTCATTTATTGACTCAGTATGGAGTATTACTTCATATAGTAGTCATAATTTAGTTTGTTTTTATTATTTTCAGTCCAAGTGTTGTTCCTACAGATATTTTCTACAAGGCTGGTATGTGTGCTACTGAAGAAGAACACAAACAGGTGATATTATACAATTAAAAATATCACTACTAGCACTGATGTATTTTTTATGTAATAAATATATGTGATAATATACCGAAATCCCTTTGAATGTATGCCCGTATTCATTAGGAATGTACTGTATCAGTCTTCTTTATATGTCGATGTTAACTTTTCAGTTGTATAGATATTCTCATGTTAGCATATCATGAGAAGTGCATATATATTTGTGTGCCTAATGCTTGTCCATTATTCAGTGAGGCATATAGATAGGCATGTAATTAGGCTAGAGGCTCATAGCAAGTTGATGCATCTGTAAAATGTTATGTGCCATATTTTCTGTTTTATGTGTGCATACTTTGACTAGCAGTCACTACTTTTAGATCTGTCTTATATATTATCTGGACGTATTGTATATGTTTTAGCTGATGGAGGACATGGTGCAGATTCATCCTCTAGGGAGAGTTGGCACTTTGGAAGATATATCCAAAGCTGTAGCATTCCTAGCTTCTGACGACGCTGCTTTCATTACTGGAGTGGACTTGCCAGTGGATGGCGGTCGTGTCCTTGCCAAGTGATGCACGGATCGACTGAATGTGTCATCACCAGCACCTCTGATTGGTAAAGTGTTTTAAAATGATGTACGGGTATATTCTACACAGCTTAGAAGCAACTGCTACTGCTGCTACTATGACTACAATATAATGATTGGAGAGAATTCGCTATTTACCAATAGATATAAGCGGCGTTCACACGAGATTCACGGCCTCGCTGGTTCCGTGGTGCTGAATTCGGCTGAAATACCGTGCTAACACAACCCGCAGCATTCACACGAGAATCGAGGCTTAGGCATAATCTGGCTAGGTATAATAGTAAATAATTTCTCCGCTAGAGGGAAGTGTTTTTCGTGATGGTGGCGCCCATGAAAGTCAGTTGTTTGTGGCAGTTTTTCAGTAAAATTACACAAAATGATGATCCAGATGAATAATCGAAATATTGAAAATTTCGAGGTCAATGCTGCGGTCTCGTTGTGCGACCACAACTGTCGCTTTGATTCTTCAGATGGGAACTTTTTTGGAGGCATGATCAGAAATAGAGATGACTGAACATATTTCTTCGCAGGAAATTCGGAGAAATATTTTCAATGGCATGAGCCGGAAGTGAAAAACGACACTGCTCCGCCTAGTATTAATGTAGCGCACTACAGTTTCACGGCTTACGAGGCCTCGAATTGCGTTCACACGACAGACAATACGCGGCCAGCGTGGTGCCGTACTTAAGCGGGTGTTTCAGCGCGCAATCACTTTCCGCGCCGAACAAGCCTCGTATTTCAGTACGGTACTTGGGAGGCCGCGTATAAGCCTTGAATATTTTTACCGTGTGAACGCTAAGTACGGTACTGAATCCTCGTGTGAACGCAGCTATAGTATGTGCTACGAGCATCTACTCTCCTATACACTAATCTCCAATAATATTGTAATACATCTTGACAATCATCTTCAGTTGCTCTAGAACTCTTACATACCAGAAGCATAGCTAACCCATTTTTCCTGGGGGGCAAAGCGATGTATATGGTGTGTTCTGGGAAGGTGACCACCTTTGACCATGTATTGCATCTACTTTTTTTCTTGGGGGGCAACTGCCTCTGTGCCCCCCCCCCCCGCTAGCTACGGCCTTGCATACTAGTCATGGGTTCAAGGATAGAGAACATGGGTCCCATTGAGACCTATGTCATTTTCGTAAATGTAGGGGTAGCCCCTGTAAAATCGACAGGGGTGCTGTTGAGGGTGTTCTTTGTTCATTTCGACCGATAAACATTATGTGAGTTAACAGGAAGTGTCGAAAAAATGCGTTGAAGCGACCCTACTCGCCCGTTTTCGGCCGTTTCTAAAACGCCGTTGTTCGTCAGCGCTGAAACAAAAAAGTTTTTCACTCTGTCCGTTTGCCCATGTCCTCAGAAAATGTCTGATATCTGACCTTTCCCCCACTGCCCTTTGACTTGTGACCTCCAATTTTGGCACAGTGATGCTTTTCCTACCATGATGCTATACACCGACTATCCTGAGCCTAGGTCGAGCCGTTTAGATTTGTGCCGCAATTCTGCATTTCCTCCCTATACCTTAAGTTAAGGAGGAAATGTTCCCCCTTCTTTTACACCTCTTGACCTTTGACCTTTGACCCCCAGCTTCGACATCCCAACTCGTTTTCGGATTACCCCCCTACGTCCCGACTTTCGAATCTGTACGTCAAGCCGTTTAGATTTGTGCCCAACTGTTGACGGACGCACGGACGGACAGACGCACGCTCATGCGATTCTACAAGCTGCATCCGACTATGTCAGATGAGCTAAAAATGAAAAAACCTCCAGGGAAGCTTTCTCATCAAATTCGTCCATTATTAATTAGCCTGCTGATGGACAGCCCCAAGTCATGCACTGTTTGGTTAACTCATTCATTAGTATGATATGGCAAAGAAGCAATTCTAAGAAGCTAACCCCCTGATACTTCAATTGCTATTGGAAATATTTATCCTCTTGTGGTTTCACTTATCAGCACAATTTCTAAGAGTGTATTTAATATGGTAAGCAGAGAGTACCAGTAAACTGGTAAAATGAGTTCATGAGTAGTAAGTGAAAATTATATCATAGGTTGTATTAATTTGCCTCATACGAGATTACTTTCCCAGTGTTTTTATATATGAAAAGGTATTAATACACCAACTGTATTATTTCTAGTTAATAGCTGTGCTTTCTTGCCAGTATAGCTCATAAGTCTTAGGACAGTGTAAGTGTTGATATTATGTTATAATATTGATTCTATGAGTTTTTAGTGCTCTTGCATTCACTGATGAATGTAATTTATACAGTAATGAGATACTGAATGGCTGCTTTTTCGCAGTGACATTCGTTATTTGATTTTGTATTGCCTGATTACTTATGCATAGTTGGACTAATTTTTTCTCGCTGTAATTATATATATGAGGGTTGTTATCAGAAACATAATTAGTTATTACAAGTCTTGAATGTAATGACATTTGAAGTGAAGTATCATGCAAAAGTTATGACATTTTAGAGTTATTATCATAACTATTTATAATGTTTTTGACCAAGGAATGGTCCCTAAATTATTGTTCAAGGTTTCCAGACAGGTTGCAGGAAGTCAGATGGGGCCATCTGGCTTTCTCTCTGTGGGCATTCTTTCCTCCCTGATGTGGCTCTCTGTTGCCAGCAGTACAGGAAAAGGTGTCTGGCTACACTCTTGTTGCCACAGTCTGTAGCAATCCCTAGCGGCGTTTTGCCAAAAATGTCAGCTGCAGCAATGTCAGCCCCTGTAATCAAGAAGAATCGATTATAAATCTGACTGCAAAGTGTCAGAAAATACAACAACTTTTGTTTCCCACACTTTATTCTTGAATCGATTATGAGGACCTGTCGTAGAGATCACATGTATAGTTTAGATTTACTACAATCATGACATGTATCAAACACACCACTGCCACTGGGGAAATAAATATTTGATAGTAATATTAATAGCTGAATATAACTTATTAAGAATCCGTTAGACTACATGTGTCCAATTAACAACTAATAAATCGCGACTAATGGTGACTAATTGACCTATCCATTCTTCACCCAAACGGCTATACCGTCTGTTCATTGATCCTATACTCTTAACTCACCGTTTTGCAATAAAAGGTTGACTATTTTATAATTGTTCTGGCAAGCGGCGGCATGGAGTGGCCTTCTTCCCAACTTAGTAGCACAGTTTACATCAACACCTGTATATAATGTAATGTTATATTTTATAATTATGATATGTCATTTCACTTACTAGTGTGGTACGGTGGTGGGTTCCATAAATTTCTATTTTGCAAAGTGTTTATATTTATGTCGATGAATCACAAACAATAGTATCATTAAGATAAATAAACATAGAAATTACTACCATCGAATATTGATGAAAGTGTATTGACAAAAACAATGGAGAACATTTGAACTGTATTTAATCATGTTTATGGAATACCTACGAGGATAGAGAGGAAGATGTCCTGTAATTGGTGTGATAAATTAAGTTCTGTTTGCAAAAGCACCAATTATCGATCAGTGAACTTAAACGGTGATGTGCAGGTGCTCATGTAAGCATCTGCTAAATTGATCTATAATTGATAATGTATGCCAACAATGCACGTGCCTTTCTTCGATGTTGGCTGTACGGTACGGATTATTTTCCTTCCTTAGCGACTGGAATATATTATATAACAAATTCGATCCCTTTCCTCCCGAAGCGGCATCTCTGTCTTAACTCCTCATCATTGAATGTATTTATATAATTGTAGCGATGTCTATATAGCCTAATTCTGCGGTCATTCGTTCGTAAATAATTGCTGCCTCCATTTTGTTTTTTCGCATACCAACTAATAATGATTAGTGGATTTAATCATGCTCCTGAGTAGAATTAAATATTGTGATTAACTTAATCATGATTAACGTTATAATTACGCTTCGTGAAACAGTCACTTCAATTTAAGTACAGGAAGTTAATCATGATTAGTGATTTAATCATGATTAAGGACTTAATTACGCTTCGTCAAACCTGGCCAGTAGCACATGAGTAGAGGTGATCTCGACTAATTGCTAGATCTTTAGATTACAAGGTCTCTATTTATGTACTACTGATAATACAGTACTGATAGGTTGACCATCGCTCTCGTTCGTGCATCTGCTCCGATATCGGCACAGATGTCAAACACTGAGTATAGCTTCTTCGCTGCTGTTTATATTGACATGGCGTTGGGCAATCTACATAAAAATTGCAGGAAAGTATTCGGTTAATCGGAGGCGCGTTGTGTCACAGCTTGTATTATGTTGTGCAGATAATATTTGTGCGTGCGTGCTTGCGTGTCACGCCGGTGCAGCCTTTCATGCTCTCATGACACTACCGCAGAATTAATGGGACATTTAATCTCCCATTCAGGGTTCTCCCTACGTTGCGCAAACGGGGCGCGAAAACTCCCCCCTGTTTCAATCGCTCCGCCCCCGATTAAATTCCACCACAATAAAAGTTTGACGCCGGGAATCGATCGTCAAGAATTCCCATTTGACCAGGACACCCGACGCGTGCATCTTTACCGTACCACGCATGCACTTCAGACTACACACAAGTACAAACAGTCAACCTGTCCCGAACCCAACACTAACTGTACAACCGACTCGGCTATCTTATATATACAAGAACCCCAAATACCGTCTATGGTGTGGTGTGGCGATTTTACGCATTAATTAGTGGTACGGTAAAAAAACACGCCTCCCTAGTTCCCCCCCCCCTCTCCCTTCCCCTCCCCTCCCCCCTGTTTGAATTTCATCCTGGGGAGAACGCTGCCATTATGTACTCTTGATATATATATATAGATATATAAATAAATAAATAAATAAATATACCCCCCCCCCCCCCGGTATATATATTATATTGCCGTACGTGTGTGCGTTAGCAGCCTAAAGGTATCAAACGAGCTATACATTGTGATTGATGTTTTTAACGTAGGAAATTCTCCCCTTCTAGCTGCAGGCGTGGAGCATAGCATTGTAAGATGTGAGGGAAATCCGCCACAACTGTTTTGCTGAGGTTTCGATGACAGGATTCGTTCAGCAAAGCCCCTCGCTGTTACGCGGGCGAGGTTGATCACTAGCACTGCGCCGCCCATCTAAACTAATTTCTACCTGTTGACTCGTGGAAATCTGGGGGCCGGTTTCACGAAGCGTGATTAACTTTAATTATAGTTAAATCATTATAATCATGATTAACTACCCGTAATTACGATTAATGGATTTACTCATGCTCCTGAGTAGAATTAAATATTGTGATTAACCTAATCATGATTAAAGTTAATTACGCTTCGTGAAACAGTCTGCAATCAATTCAAGTACGGGAGGTTAATCATGATTAGTGATTTAATCATGATTAAGTACTTAATTACGCTTCGTGAAACCGGCCCCTGGATATAGTGCCTTGCTCATAAGACGATAGCAATGGCCGCGTGGGAGTCAAACCCCGAGACCTTTCAGCCAAAGACAAGTGTACTAGTAACTATAGAGACGATTACTGCCCCCCCCCCCCCGAGAGAATAATTAAATTCACCATTAAATCGCCCCATCTCTCCTTATTCTCACCAGCCATCGGGCTGCAAACCAACGCTGGCTCCATGGATTGCTCCTTGCGTGCAAAATATTCACACCGAACGTGAAGCCATTTGTAAATGGCACGTAAACGTTTGTGCCACTGTCGTTGACAGACAGACTGATGAAATTACGCATGCTCGTGACATTATATTATCTGCTCGTGACATTCTATTAACTGCTTGTGACATTCTATTAACTGTAACTAACAAAGCTGATGAGACAATCACATCGTAATTCGCCTCTGCACAGCGGCGATGATGGGGTCATGCAAGGTTACCTTGTATCTAGGAGACGTCAGCTACCTGTATGAGCTAGTTGCTCACTCACCGGCATTGATGAGACGCTGTGCAAGCCCATAGTGTCCCCGGTGACAAGCTATGAACAGAGCCACGAATCCTCTCTGAGCAAACCAGTCCTGCCGGTCCACCTCGTTCATATAGTCCGTGTATGAGCTTTTGTAAGAGCTAGTTTTCGTAACACCCAAGTTGAAGATGGTCTCTGAATCGCCTTTCGATGCTATCGTCATGAGCAATTGCCAATGATCCCATACACGCAAGTCCAGTGTGGCCCCTTGTACAAGTAAATAATGAACGTGAAATTACATTATCAGGAGTGAATAAAAACATTTTGTTTCCATTCATTCCTGAATACATTACGACATTACGAAACGAACATACAAAGGTTCTGTTGTAATATATATATATATATTATTATATATATATATATATATATATATATATATATATATATATTACTGTTATACAATTGTCCTCCCTGTCAGAGCGAATCTTTTAAATGCGTGGATCGCCTACCGGTTACGATGTAATTGTCATTAACGGTGCTGTCGTCGTGGAGGTCGCCTTCATCTAAAAATGACAGTCTCAGGATATGAGCGGGAATGCCAGCTACTAGCTCGATATCGGCCTTAATATCACGAATAGAATCTCCCGGCTGTACAGCCGTCAGGTGAAATGTGCGTCTTGTCCCGCCGAGTCGCAGATATAACGTCATTGAGGGTTTCTTTCGCGCAACCATTTTCGCGTGCGGAGTCTTGGCGGCTCGCATAAGGAAGCCCGTTGAAGTTCGATAGACGGGTCAAAACGCTGAAGATCACAATATGTAAAACTGTTTCATTTCATCTAGTGAATTGGCATAGAAAGCGATGATCGATCAGAGACCGTCAGTGAGCCCAAACACGAAAATGCTGCGATATACGGTGGCTATACAAATTTTTGACGCTCATCAGTCCACTGTAAGCACGCATAACGTTAGCTCCAAGAAACGGTCTTGCTAGGGTTAGCAGACCTATACTATAGACAATCGACCTATACTATAGACAATCGGTCGCACAGCCTGGTCGGTCTAGCATAACGTGATTGCTCTACGTTGAGTAAGTCAGTAACATCAATTACCTTCTTAATACGCTCTTGATTGTATCTAAACGCGCACATACGCGTGTATAAGCATACCGCGCGCCCACTTCTCCATATGTTTCTGTGTACAACTAACAAAAGATTCCATTCATATAGGCTTACCTATAGTTGCCAGGGTAACGCCTGCCCGATGACGCGTTCGAATAGTTACTAGAGCTATGTACACACGCAGCTGTGAACTAGACAAATGCTGTGCTGTACTAGTGCACTCTAGGTGCTGGATATCATATTATCAGGAGTAGATAATAGGGTCCCTAAATTTGTCCCCCACCCCCAAATTTTAGAAAAAGACGGAGACGACGTAGTGCTCGCGGAAAGCTACTCTTGCGTGCCCACTATTATATCGCCCCACCCCACGCTCACAATACAGCTACAGCATATATTCAAGATTTATGATTACATAATATTATATATGAGTGTGTGCGTGCGTGCGTGCGTGCGTGCGTGCTGTTGCATGAGCGTGCAAGTGGGCGGCCTTGATCCCCTTGCCAGTGTTTCCTCATTCCTACATGGGTAAATAAAACCAGGAGTAGATAATAGGGAAGAGTATGACAGCGTTTTAACAGCGTTTTGCATAGTTTTCAACTTGTAAATATTCTATCAATATGTGAATAAATATATTCAAACTTTACCTTGTTTTCGTCTATGATTCTCCCTTAATCATTAATCATAATTCTCTATTATGTATTCTTGATATTATCAAGAGTGGGTTAATTATTATCTTACTCTTGATATTATCAAGAGTGGGTTAATTATTATCTTACTCTTGATATTATCAAGAGTGGGTTAATTATTATCTTACTCTTGATATTATCAGGAGTGAATATAATAATAGATTATTATTATTCACTCCTGATATTATTTTATTTATTTACTCCTATTGTTCTAGACATGTACGTATCTCGCATACAGTCGTGCCTCAAAATGTCTGAAATATGATGTAAATACATCATGATCATATAGAGTTGGGAAACTTATTTAGTATTATTGGGAAACAATTGGGTAATTTATTTTGACATCTGATGCACGAGTCCAGTGTTAACTTTGTAGCTCGATCGGTAATAAATATTCAATAATTAAGACGTCACCCCTCGCCCGCCGGTGAATATAATGCCCCCCCCCCAACACACACGCACGCACGCACGCACGCGCGCGCGTTTCCTTGTCATTTAGGAACCTTCTATTATGTACATTTACACGTACCTACCTACGTACACGCGTCTGCTGCTATACGTATATAATCAGGTAGATACAATAATGTAACCCAAACACAGGATAGGACTCCCTATCCTGTGTTTGGGTTACATTATTGTATCTAATAATCAGGAGTCTATCAATATTGATAGACTCCTGATATATATATATATATATTTACTGAGTGAGAGTCAGGTTTTGCTTGGCAACGTATTACGCGATACAGGCAACGCGTATACGTGTGTAATATGATTGTGCTTTCATCCGGGATTGCCTTTGAAATATGATTAGGATCGAGTTGCTCGCCATCATTATTTTACCGAGTTCGGAAATGGTTGAAGTCGGGAACTATACAGCTGCTGCGCCCGAATGCCAGGCATGGCCAATATTTCACTGTATTCTCCATGATAAAATCCTGCGTGTGACATTCAGTAAAGGCTTCAACATAAAGGCCTAGCTATACTGCTCATTTATAACGGCTGGCGGTAGTTGAATAGCGAATGCTGGCGCAGCAATCTCGTCTGCCGTCGAGATGAATTCATTGCGTGTCTTCATTATACCAAGCTCTACGGAAGGCACGCGATCGGCCTGAGGCATCTGAGAGTGCGCATGCGCATTAAATATAGAATGGGCTGGCAATGCAGACTGAGTAATTACTGTTCACCGACATTCGATAGCTACGCCTGTTTTCGTCAGTTGACGACTAACTAGCCGTCTGCTCTCTGCCCAACGCGTAGGCGCATGCATGAACCGCGCTCGTTTCATACCTGCGCGCGTGCGCATCACACGGAAGATTGTTCTGCACCTGCGCGCAGCACACGTGCGGAAAGCGCTGTTTCCATCAGCCTTCACCTCACACGGAACATCATGCTCCCTATACGGCGTATGCGCTATAGCTGCTATAGTGTATTAATTCGCATTTGGAACTTTAAGAGCTTGTCGTTTTTCTCGTGACGCTTTCATTGTTTCAACAATATCGAGAAGGAGAAGGAAAGAGAGAGAAAGAGAGATCGCGCGCGCGCGGGCGCGCGAGAGAGAGAGAGAGAGAGAGAGAGAGAGAGAGAGAGAGAGAGAGAGAGAGAGAGAGAGAGACAGAGAGCGGAGAGGGGGCGAGAGAAGGGAACGAGG